GGGAATAAACCTTGACAGAGAATTAGACAAAATAAAAAAGCTATGGGGTTTAATGTCCCTATCCAGACACTAAGCAATCAAATTCCTTCTTTTGCCCTGGCCTGGTGGCACAGTTGGTTGGAGCATCATCTTGTACACCAAAAAGGTTGTGTTTTGATTTCCAGTCAGGGCCCATACCTAGGTTGCGGGTTCAATCCCTGGTCAGGGCATGTATGGGAGGCAATCAATCAATGTTTCTCTCTCACATTGATGTTTCTCTCTTTCTCCCTTCCTCTCTCTAAGATCAATAAAAACATAAGCTCAGATGAGGATTTTTTTAAATTTCTCCCCCAAACTTTACAAGCACACACACACACACAAGAGAGGAAGGGAGAGCTGTTGAAAGGGGTAACACCAAAATCATGTTGGGCAGCCCTCTGAGACTCCTGGGAGACTGCCAAGCAGGGAAAGACAGCAAAGAAAAGAGGCCTGGAGACAAAAGCTGGAGTTATTCTCCCCATGTGCAGGGGCAGGTGGAGTTAAACAGAGGAAACATCCAGAGAAGTTGCATATATATATATATATATATATATATATATATATATATATATATATATAGTGTTTTATTGATTGATTTTAGAGAAAGAGGAAGGGGAAGAGAGGAAAAAAACATCGATTTACTGTTCCACTTATTTATGCATTTCTTGGTTAATTCTTGTATGTGCCCTGACCTGGGATCAAACCTGCAACCTTGGCATTTTGGGACTACACTCTAACCAACTGAGCCACCCCGCCAGGGCCAGAGGAGCTTCTTGATGAAATGATTTGAGCTAAGCAGAGAGGACAGCCCAGCCTGGGCCTGGCCTATTGCAGAGAACCATGGAGAGCAGGCCTGCATGAGTTTCCATGGGCACTGCTGTTGCCTTCCACCTAGTAGATAAATGAACTCAAGGAGAGAAGAACTGTCTCATTACAGCATAGTTTGGGAGAAAGCTACAGATGCGGTTTGCATGTAAAATACTTCCTTCCCTGACCTCGCCTCCTCTAGGCATATCTGTAATATAATCCTTGTTTTGGATCACTGACTTCCATGCCCTTCCCCCAACCTCACCTCCCCACCCCTCCCCACCCCCACCAATCTCAACCTCTTCTCCCTCAGCCCAGGCCAGGTCCTATTCCACCTGCCTCTGCCCCATTGCCCCAGCTTCCCCCCTCAGCCCCTGGCGACTCTCCCAGACCACACTGCTGAGCCCATTACCAGGTGTTGCAGTCTCTCGAGAGGGAGGCACCTGGAGGGTACCGCTTCCCAGAATGCACACAGGAACACTCCGTGCTTTCCACACAGCGGCCTTCATCAAGGAGCTGTCCCTCTGGGTTCAAAGACATCAAGACACAGTCTCAACCTTGTCATCATCATTACTCGTCTCACAACTATAGAATCCCCATGGGTGACCATCAGCTTAGGGCTTCTTCCAGGAAGCTCAAAGGATTGTTCTGTGATGTTCATCTTTCACATTAGGGCAATATGAGGGAGGGGATTGTTAATCTTCACTCTACTGGTGGAGAAACAGGGAAAGAGTTTTGTCCAAGGTCCTCAGTAGGGAAGTCATGAGTCTAGGCTGAACACTTCTTCTAGGAAGCCCAAAGAACTTGTGTGACGTTTACCTTTCACATTAACGCAAGGAGGGAGGGGAAGTTAATTCATCTTCATTTTACAGATGAAATCAAAGCAAAAGTTTTGTTCAGGGTCTTCCAGTAGGAAAGTCATGAGTCAAAGCTCACAGGACTCACTCTTAAGAACTGACCAGGGTTTTTCACCAAAGCTCACGAAGGCTCTCCTGAGAAAGGCTTCCGAGTGCGAAGCTCTTTTTCAGCTGAGCTCACATGGCAAACCCAGAAAATATTTAAAAAATATCTTTCTCCCAGACCAGCTCCCTGACACTTAACTGAGAAAACAAAACTGCCATCAGATTGGGCCACGTGCCCCCCAAACAAAGTCGCTGTTGGCACCCAGGCCATGCTTCTGTTTCCTAGACACACATGCTTTCATGAATACAGTACAACAGGAAAACATAAAAACAAATGCCAGCTCGATCCTGACCACTCAGTATGAAGACTTTTTAAAAATAAATAAAAGGCCTCTGATTTCGGCGACGGAGACCTCACACAAGTGGCTTTCATCTGGCCTCCCCAGGCCAAGAGCCCTGGCAAGGCCTCGGGTTTGTAAATAAAGTGGGAAGTTATTACCAGGGCAGCTGCAGCCGTCCACACATTGCTCCTGACACACTTCGTTGATTTTCAGGCTCTGGCAGGTCCTGGTGCAAGGGGACACACACTCCTTGTACTCCATGCCAGCAGGGCACGCCGGTCCTGGAACAGAAAGCTCAAGAGCCTCACCAGGGCAGCTCCCCCGATGCAGCATCTCACAGGCCACACTGCACTTAGGCCCCCTTGGTCTGCTCCCCTGTCTCCAGGGCCTCAGGGGCCACCTCCATCCCAGTGACACTCCAAGATTGTCCCATACAACCACCCCTCCCCTGAAGGAACATCTTAGAGCCTGGCTAAGACCCAGCAGGGTCACCTGGGACCACGACCCCTTCTTCTTGGTCATCTGTTCTCCATGAACAACTCGGTTTTTGGTGTGTGTTTTTGGTGTTTTGTTTTTTTTCACCTTTATACTCTCTCCCTTTCAGCTAAACCCTCTCAGGGTGAAACCACACTCCTCTAGGCTGAAAATGAATGGCCTCCTGGGCCCAAGCTAGGAGTACATGATTTCCTCAACCATCCTCCTCTGAGGGCCCCTCTTCCTCCTAAAACTGTCCCCAATCAAATGCCCCACACAGCACAAGGCCTGTGCCAGTCACACCCACCTTCCCTGTGTTTATTCCCACTGTGCTGCAGGGCTGCCTCCAGAGCCTGTCACCTAAGCATCCGCCCTCCCCGCTGGACCCAGCCACACGTGGGCATGGGCTGGCTCTCCTCTCTCTCTAATCCCATGGCTGTCTGGCCCAGGCCAACTGAAGGACCGGAACTCTTTTCTGGGTTTCACAAGATCAAACAATTGCCCCAAAAACCCTTCTCCTCCAAGATCCATCAGGTATCGCCCCCATCCTACTCCAAAGGCCTAAAAAGAACAGCCCCCCCCTTCAGAGGAGAGCCCAGCGGCTACCAGCCACCTTCCTCACATTCCCCAGCAAACACAAAAGGCTCTAACTTATAAGCTGAGAAAACACAACCTGAAGACTGTGTGTGTGGTGTAGTTGGCTGGCTCCCCCATCTCCATGGGCCGGAGTGACCTGTCTAATTATGGCAGACTGGCTGTTCCCTCACTCGGCTCTGGTCAGCGGAGTGTCTGGGGAGACATGAGGCTTCTCCCCAGGTGACCGACAGGCTCCTACTTAATCATGATAATTTGGGGATGGTGACAATGTCAATGACTAGGGACCTGACGAAATTAGAAGGTCAAAACCACAGGCGCCACGAGGTGAGGTGGGGGGAATGTGAGGCTGGGCCTGCAGGACAGAGGCTGATTTAATGACAGGGAAGGACTTAATGAAAGCCTGCCGGGATCACCAGCCCCAGCTGGGACAGTTCAGCCAACTCCCTGCTCTGTGACAGGCGGTCAGCACAGGTATTAGCTGAAGCAGCCGCACTGCTGAGATCTGGCCACAGACAGAGAACTTTTTTGTGTCCAAGGGATGGAGTTTCTGGGGGAGTCCTGGGGAACCAAATGAGGCATGGCACAAGAACAGAGGCAGGAGAAATGGCCTGGAGACCTTGGGAAGGCCCTTTGAGCCTCATCACAGACTTTAAGGGAGGGGACTCCCTCTGTGAGCCAGCACTCTGGCCAGGTGACAAAGGGAAGAGGCTGTATAGAAATTGGATCCAAAAACTGGTGGCTCTATAGGCCCTGGCTGGCTGGGGTGTGGTAAAGGCATACGATTGTGGCATCGAGAGACTCCTGAGGGACACCCCAGGACAGACACCATTTTCCCCAGACCCTGAGCGCCCCCCAGCCTGGGGGGTGGGCAGTGACTTACGGCATTCGCTGTGCTCGGTCCAGCCGTACAGCACCATCCCCTGGTGGGCGCAGGCCCGGGCATACTCCAGGAGGGCCGCACAGGGGCACCTCAGCCCCTGGGTGCAGGTGCACAGAGTCCTCTCACACAGGGCCACGAAGGGCTCGGGGTCCACCAGGGGGTGGCAGCGGGTGAACACCGAGTCCCTCTTCAGCAGCTGGCACTGCTCCCACAGGCCCTGCAGGAACAAGTGCCACCTCGGTGAGCGCAGCAGCATGTGGCCCCAGCTCTTTCACTGCATGTACTCTGTGTCCCCCTGAAGGAAAGCCTGCCAAGGATCCTCCACACAGGGAACAGTGCCTGCGCCTAGTAGGTGCTTATCAACAGTTACCAAATTAAACAGTCCATCAATCAAAGGAAAGCTATTGGACTTGTGCTATGTGAACTGTACTGAGACCGAGATTGCCTTAAACCCTGGAAATGCAGAGTCCAGGCCCTTGGACTGCAGCGGCAGTCAGTGACCCCTGAAGGGAAAGAGCAGAAAAGGAGAAAACAATGGGAAGAACGCTGAACTTGGAATTCATGTGGAACTCTGCGGAGGACATGTGACTTGGGAGCCAGGAGTGCTGATCAGCTTGTTTTGCACTGACCTGGTCACTTCTGCTCCCTGACATTGACTATAAATGAGAAGTGGGACAAGTTGTGTACAGTAGACATTTGTGGGCCTTACCCTCAGAGATTAAAAATTTCAGTATGAGGGGGATGGAGCTCAGCAGTACCTTTTTCCAACATTCCCCAGGAGACTCCTGGGACCAGAGGGGACCAGTTCCCATCATGAAAAACATGCTAGGTTCTACGAACTGTCCCAGAGACACTCTACCAGACAAGGGCTCTTCTTGGGTGTTAGCCCTTTGCTGATACCCTCAACCCAATAACACGAGGCAGTCTTAGAAGTGTTGTCATAGATTACTCCTGTAACATGCAAGTATAAACAAATACTCCTAAGTGTTGTACTGGCAAACATCTCTGCACTCTGTGTTTTAATGATTCTAAATGAACATCTTTTTCACAGTTTCACCTCTCTGAAATTGGAGTGCAGCTTACAATTGCTGTCACACTGGAAGTGGCAGTTATATATATATATATATATATATATATATATATATATATATATATATATAGAAACATCAATGATGAGAGAGAATCATTGCTCGGCTGCCTCCTGCATCAATGATGAGAGAGAATCATTGCTCGGCTGCCTCCTGCATGCTCCCTACTGGGGATCAAGCCTGCAACCCAGGCAGGTGCCCTGACCGAGAATTGAACCCTGACCTCCTGGTTCAGAGGTTGACGCTCAACCACTGAGCTACAGCAGCCGGGCAGTTTTTTTCTTTCTTAGTGATATACTCGAAATAATGCCGTGTCTTAGAATCAACAGCGCCTTCGATTTGATGTTACACAGTATTGCCACTAGAAATGGGTGTGTCATTTCTTCCATGCACAGACATGCTTTCCAAAGGGAAGCCAGCAGTTAGTGAAAGGACTTCAGCTACAGAGAGAGAAGTATAACATATCTAAACAGAAGGGCTGAGTCCTGAAGGGTAAACCAGAGCAAATCCAGTCTGCTCACACTGTACAAAGGGCAGCCAGAGCAAGCCTGCATAAGCCAAGAGCCAGGGTCCAGGCTTCATCTTTTGTGGCACCATGAAGATCCCGGAGGAATGGAAATCTGACCCAGTGCTGCTCAGCATCCTCAAGAACCACCCTGGCAGCACCAGGGACATGTTGTGGTCCTAGAGAAATCTGTGTCCTGCTCCGGGTGCCACTGAGCGGGGCCCTGCCTCCCACCCAGGCTGCACAGAGCCTGCCACCAGAACCAGGCAGGCAGGGCAGCATGTCACAGATGCACCCTGCTTGCAGCCGGCCCAGAAGGAGAAAGGGGGCACAGGGCCCAGATGGCCCAAGCAGTTGGGCGCGGCTGGTTCCCTCTGCACCTTAGAAAGCTACAGCTGTGAACTTGTAGGTCAGAACCATTAGCAGCTCTGCATGTTGGGGGCCAACATGACCCACCCTTCTGACTTATGCCCTTGGGTTTGGACTCCCCACACCCCCAACCCCCACCCCAGGCACCCACTGTGTGGCTGGGAAAAAGCATGGGCTTCAGCCCAGCTCTGCCACTAACTGGTGGGGACTGAGACACCTCATTAGAGAAGGGTGTCCTGAGTACAATGGGAACATTACAGGACCGCCTTGTGGGTGATGTGAACACACAGGGCCTGGCACCAAGCAAAGCTATCAACAAAGGAGGACTACTCTGGTGGCCCCATGACCACCAAGGGCTCGGATGATACATGCATCCTCCCATTGGCCACTGCACACGTTCACGCAGGGGAAGCGGAGGTTTCTGAAGACATTGTCAGGAAGAGTCCTGCCCTGGACCTGTTATGACTTCACATCCCCTGATCCAAGTTCCACCTCTTCTCATGCTAGTGGCGTGACCTTGGGCTATTCCCTTAACCATCTCTTCGGGAAGATGGGGATGAGGATAACAACAGAGCCTACCTGAAGAGACTGAGGTGAAGGTTGAATGGAATAAGGTATGTGAAGGTTTAAACTAATAACGGGTGACCCCATATCTTCATCATCACCAATATCTTGGCCACCAGAGAGACCCTTTCCACTGCCCCTCCTGCCATTAGGTTTATCCCCAGCAGGACAGAAGGACATCTTTGCCCTTTTGCTCTGTCTCTATCTCTCTGGGCTGTATAAGGATGAATGGTTGCAGTGGCAACATTATCACTTCACTACTATCTTGGGGGTTCCCCAGGGAACAGAGGAGCAGCTTTTGTTATTCTTTGATTTGGGAGGGTCACATCTCTCCCGAATCAAAGAATAACAAAGTAGGTTTCTTTCTAGTGGAAGGATGAGGGAGGAGCCGCCCTGTTGTAATAGACGGGTCTGAGAATCTCCTGGGGCTCAGGGGAGGAGGCCTCAGCCACACCCTCTGCCCCATCAGCAATGACACTCAAAACATGGGGTTGCTGGACTCTTAAAGAGCAGCCGAGGCCGCCCTGAGAGGGCCCGATGCTCAGCTCTTGCCTACCTCTTTCCCCACCCGCAAGTTAAAACCAGAAAAGAAAAAAAAAAGAAGAAAGCAACTCCATGGGTTTTTCCTAGTGCTTGCTGAGGTCGCCTGCTCTGTAGGACAGTGACTCAGAGCCATCCCTGCACCACAGGACTACTTCCTGCAGGTGCGGGGACCAGACACCTAGGGTTCTCGCCAGCAGGACACAATAAAGCCAGAGGAGAGAAGAGACCCAGGCGTCCAGCGTCCCGTACCCTATCAGAGTGACAGTGGGCAGAGTCCAGCACAGCCACCTCCAGCTGGCCCCATTCCGGTTTTTCCTGTTCAGAGGAACAGTGGGAACAGTACACCAGCACATTTCTGGGGAGGTCCCTTGAGATATTAAATGGTTTACAGAAAGTCTTAGAAGAAGGGTGTTTTCTGGCTGTCTGCAGGATGGGAGTGGATTTCTACAGAAACAGCCACCTCCCTTCTTAGTATAATTCCTTTGGCCTCTACCATTTACACCTGAAATCTGGCTAGGATTTCTTCCTTGGCAGAGACAAAAGGAGGGTTCTGCCTGCCTCCCCCCATCTCGCCCTCTGGTTTTCCTCTTCAGCCCTGGCTGCACTTGGCCTATTAGAGTGACCACAGTCTAAGGGCCGGGCAGGACTGCCCGCCACCAGAGCTGCAGCACCGCCCCCCTCTGGCTGCTAGCCCTGCCCCCCAGGCTTCTCTGTTCCACCACAGGTAGCCCTGCCAGCCCCAGCCAGGTCCTAAGACAAGATGCCTCCACAGACATAAATCTGAGTCTGAGCCACACCCTGTCCTCTCTGACCCAGGGCAGAGACATCGGCAGGTAGGAGGTGGCCAAACCTTCACTCACAAGATTGGCTGTGTGGCCTCGAGGTCTCCAGCAGTGTGTCCAGGTCAGCATGAAGGGCAAACCTGACAGTGTCCCAGGCCAGCTTAGAGGGCCCAGTTCTGGCTGCTCAGGAAGCAGCGAGGCCAGGCCTCCCAGGATCTGACCCTGGCCTACCTCTCTAATTCATCCCTCCCCACTCCCCATCTCCTAGGTTACCAATGGTTTCCTGAACATATCAAGTTGCTTCGGAGACCAGCGCATCACCCACTCCCACAAACTGACCCTTCAGAGGCCTGAAGACACCTTCGAAGAACCCAACCTCCTCAGAGAAAGGTGAGATAAATACAGCCTTTCAGATTTGGAAACTGAGGCATGGAGAGGATGAAGCATTTACAGCTCAGCGGTTCGAAGAGTGTGGTTCAGGGACTCCCTGCGGACTCCCAAGATCCTTTCAGGAGTCGATGAGGTCAAAACCATTTTCATAACAATATCAAGATGTTATTTGCCCTTTTTGCTCTCATCCTTTCGCAAGTGCGCAGTGGAATTTTCCGAGGCTACGCGACGTGTGATATCACAGCAGACTAAGTGCAGGAGCCGATCCGAGAATCCAGCTGATTTCTCAGAAGCCAGAGAGTGAGGAGATTTGCAAAACTGAAACAATGCCATTCTTCTCCCCAACCATGTTTTTGTTTGGAATGTGTAGTTATTTTCATTAAAAGATGTTATTCATGTAAAATATTATGTCTATTGTTTTTAAATAAATTAATATGATTTAAATGTCTCAGTTCTAATATCTAATGCAGTAAATGTCAATAGATATAATCGACATAAATAAAATCTTTGGCATCCTCATTCATTTTTAAGAGTGTAAAGGAGTCTTGAGATTAAACCATTTGCAAACTGCTGAACTAGCAAAGGGGTGACTCAGACCTTCATTCCATCCACAGGCCTGTCACCTGCCACCAAACCACAGTTCATATGGTCTTCCACACCCTCGGTGCACCTACCCCACTTTATTTCCTAACCGTCAGAGTAGAAGACAGTTCAGTGGATGTAGCACAGATTTAGAAGCCTGGTTGCACTGGAGTTCCGAGCCCCTTCCAACTTCCAAAATGTGTGCCTAGTAAAATCATCTTGCCTTGCTGCACCTCGGTTCCCTCACTTTCAAAGAGGGAGAGTGTAGAGGAGGTGGAAAGTGGCCCAGGAACTATTACTTCTTTCTTAGTCACAGGACCCTCGGTTTCTAGTTTTCCCCTGCACACACAGGCACCAGAATAAAGATTCCATTCCCAGACTCCCTTGCAACCAG